CAAGTCAAGAGGTTATAGCAAACCCGGCAAGAAGAGATATGTGATCAAAGAACAAGGTACACACACCGACATAGATCAAGTCCTGCGTCCCAGAACCTCACCTCACCCCCAGTTCCTCGGTAAAGAAACGGCCAGGGAAAGCGAAACCGTGAGTGTCCCAGTTATGGGCAGACCGCATGCTTGCAGTCGAGGCCTCCAGGACCCACGTGTGTCCAGAGAAACCTGGGTGGCCGGCTCCCTGCCCTAGGTGTCCAGATCAGTGCCCTCATGCCCTGCACTGTGGCCAGCACCACAGCAATGCTCAGCCATGAGGTGCTTCCCGTGCCGTTCCTGATGTAGACTCTTCCCCTCTGCCTTCTGCAAACAAAGACACCCTGCAAACCCGCGGTCCGCCGTGTGGTCCTCATGGCAGACAGGGACCTGGGCCCGTCCCCAGGGCAGTCCTGCCACCTGCTCTGGGAGCAGCCCGGCTCCCCGTCCGTCCTTGGTCTCTGCTTCTGGGCCCACCGGCTTCGTGGCAGTGCCGCTCACGCCGCTGCGGGCACGCTGGGTGGAGAGTCGAACCTGGAGGTTCACGCCAGCTGTGGGTGCGCACTCTGTGTGGCCAGTTTCCTGGGACAGCAGAGCTATGGCTAAGGTGACAGCAGAGCAGCTCTGCCTGGGGCCAGAGGGGGACACAGGACACTAGGACCAACCCCCGGGAACCCAGATATGTTATAGTAGGAGGTAAGCATCCATTCCACAAGAGATAACCATTAACATCATAAAATGAGTTTTTACAAAGTCCAGGAAAATGCCTGGCAAGTATGGCTCAGTGACTGAGCATCAACCAGTGAACCAAGAGGTCATAGTTCAATTCCCGGTCAGGGCACATGCCCGGGTTGCAGGCTCGATCCTCAGTAGAGGGCGTGCAGGAGGCAGCCGATCCATGATTCTCTCTCATCAAAGATGTTTCTATTTCTCTCCCTCTCCCTTCCTCTCTAAAACCAACCAACCAACCAACCAATCAATCAATCCATAAATAAGAAAGCCCAGAAACTCATGAGTAACCTCCAACTGAAAGTCAAGTCCCCTCTGAGCGACGTTGCCTCTTCCCTGCTCCACCTGGCAGCACCCCGACAGGCCCTCCGAGGAGCACCGGGCGGGCCGGGCTGCTGCGGGCTGGTGGGGAGTCATAGGCACCAGTGGTGGGTGGGCTGGGAGCCAGGGTGGCACGTGCCCTGGTCTCCAGGGGCGCGGCCCTTAGCAACAGCGCCCAGGTCGGCTCCTTGGCGGGCTGGTCTCAGGTGGCAGACGCCATCCTGCAGGTTGGGTCCGTGTTCCCAGCCAGTGCAGGAGGAGCGTTGGGGGGGGGGGTGAGGAAACGCAGGCACAGAGAGCCTCATGGATGGGGGGGTGGAGACAGGTTGGTTACAGGATGGCTGAAAAGCAAGCGCATTTACATGGAGAGAGAAGGGAGGGAGTACGGGGGTGGGCTTAATGCTGTCAGCCCTCAAACATCAAAAATGGTTCACTGACTCTTCATGCAGCCCGGCACACTCACGCCCGCAGCAGCAGCCTCACGTCCAGATCGTGGATGGACAAAGCGCGCTGTGTCCACACGGGTGGCAGGGATCCCCAGCAGTGAGCGCCCTGAGAGCTCCAGCCCCGGGAAGGGCCCGCGGCACCCCCACCCCCACTCCTCCCACAGGCCTGTGGGGTCAGCAAACCCTCGGGATGGGAAGCAGATTCGTGGTGCTGGTGGGGAGGGGATTCAGGGTGAGGGCTGGGAGCTAGGGGTTCTTTGGGGGATAAAATGCTCTACAATTAGAGAGTGGCGAGGAGCTCCCATCCCCGTGGATATACATTTCAGAATTAGGCCTTCACACAGCTGGTGTGTGAAAGAAAGAAGGGGTGAGACGAGACCAGCATCGGGGTGGGAGCTGGGACGCTAACCCAGACAGCACCTGGGCGAGGCTGTGTCTGTGGTCCCAGCGCCTCGCAGCTGAGCCTGCCCACCCGCTAGTGCGTCAGGGCAGCAAGGTGCTGAGCGGCTGTGCCCGAGGCCCGGGCGCACTGTTTAAACAGGATTCCCTCGGCTGTGAAGGCCTTCATCAGGGCAGCACCTGGGAGCCCTCACTGAGGTCGGGGCCCCGGCCACCTGCCCTGGGTTCTAGGAGAGACACCAGTGCCCACAGTGCAGCCGGCATCGGCCCCATGTGCGTCTGAGGGCAGCTGACAGGGACGGAGCCACCAGACGGTCCAGGACCCCGCTTCCTTCCCGCCCCATCCCTGGGACCCCCCAGACAGCCTCCTCTGGACCCCGCTTCCTTCCCACCCCATCCCTGGAGACCCCCCCTCACTACTCCCCCCCCCCCGCACAGCCTCCTCTGGGCCCCGCTTCCTTCCTGCCCCATCCCTGGGACCCCCCAGCACAGCCTCCTCTGGACCCCGCTTCCTTCCCGCCCCATCCCTGGGACCCCCCTGCACGGCCTCCTCCGCATTCTCCTGTTTTGGTTTCACTCACACCTCATGGCAGTAATGCACTTGGGTGGCCATCAGGGAAGCAGATGGCTTCGAGTTCCAGAAGCTGGCGGTACAGACTGGGAGGTCCGCCCGGGCCCACAGGCCTCTCCCTGGGGCACAGGCCCCTGCTTTGGAAGTGGCCCTGGGGCCTGGACAGGTGCACACTTTGGCCCCCTCTGACCTGCTGATCTGGTGTGAGGCCGGGCGCCCAGAGGTGCTGGCTGGAGAGGGGCTGAGTCAGGGCGGACCCCACAAAGTGCGCGCTGTGGGGAAAGCTCAGCTCTCCTTCCCATGTAGGGAAACCCGCTCTTCCCGCGGGCCCCCTGCACTTTCACAAAGAGCCAGAGTGCGTCCCTCTGACACCTCCGGCCACCTCTGCGCGGGGGCCGGGGGCTTCCCCACCGACCAACCAACACTCAGACACCAAGACACCAGCCCAGTGTCCTGCCTTCAACTTCATTCTGACACTGTACCCCAGAGAGAGCATCGGACTCCACAGGTAAGGGCTCCTCTGCAAGAGTGCCCCCCCATTACAAAGGCTGTGGTCAGGACCAGCTGGCAAGGAGGGGCTGAGGGGGGGCGGGCGGGGGTCAGGCTTCTGTCCTCTCAGCTCAGCGCTCTCCCATCTCCAGGGGTTCACAAACCCAGAGCTCCCCAAACCCCACACGTTGGGATGTTAGTGAAGGCTTCTTCATGCAGCAGGAGGGAGCATTAACTCCATTCCCAGCCCTTCTCCCTTCTCGGGAGAGTGGGGGCGGCCCGAGCAGCCCCGCTTGTCTCTGGCCTGTTCTTTCTGGGGACCAGCCCTCCCCGAAGCCCACAGTCTCCTCAGTGGAACCCAGACACTCTGCCTCTCAGGAGCCGGCAGAGGTTGCAGGACCATGTCAGGAGCTGCAGGCAGGAGCGAATATAGAACAAAAGATGTTCTTAGTGCTTCTCTCACGTAGGAAGCTGCAGGGGTGCCAGGAGCTGGGCGCAGGATCCGAGGCGGAGACAGTCCAGATATTTCTATTTCTCTCAAAGTGCCAAAGAGGAAGCCTGGGCGGAGCCCCTGTGGAGCCCTCTGCCCGGACCGCCTGGAGCCTGGGAACCCCTGGCCTTCCTAGTGTCCTGCAGCTGAATCCAGAAGGTCATTGTTGAGAAGCAGGACCCCAAGTCAGCACGTGACCCGGAGCAGGTTCCGAGGCTGCGCCGGGGGCCTGGCTGTGGTGGCCGCGCCACAGTCCCGCTCAGGAGCAGGAGGCCTCCAGCTTGTCTGGGTCCTCAGGTCCCAAACCGCACAGCTTTCTGAAGGCAGCCATGGAGGCCCCTGGAAGTCAGCAATGGGGTCCCTGTGGCCCCCTCCCACACCTGGGTATGGGGAGGGGAGGATGGCACAACAGGTCATCATCCCTGTGGGAATGGGAATTGGGGGGCTGAGAAGAAGGGGCAAGAGCAGATGCTGTTGAGGAGTCCAAGGGTCGAGGGAGGTGTGGGCCCACGGGCTGTCCTGAACAGCCACAGGCCGGGCGCGGGCATGCCAGGGCTCTGCCACCACGGAGCCAGGCGCCCGGAGCTGACACCTGGCCTCGCAGTCTGCTACACAAGATGCCTTCTGCTTCCACCTGGTTGCTGTGTCTGTCTGCTCAAGTCGCCACAACGAAACATCATAGACTGTGGCTAAAGGCCAGACTTCTACTGTGCAGACTGGAGCTGGGGTCCGAGACCAAGGTGCCGGCGCTCTGCTCCATGCGAAGCCTTTCCTGAGTGACAGGCGCTGCCTCTCACTGTCCTCACAGGGCGAGCGTGAGCTCGGGCTCTTCCTCTTCCTGTAGGGCGCCAAGCCTATCGTGCCTGACGGCGCTCCGGCCCTCCGCCATGTGTATGTGACACAGGCCTCAGCCTCCCAACGTCTCCCCAGTGCGGGCGGCGGCTGGCCTGAACACCGCGGATGAAACAGTGACGTGGAAGGAGAGGTCTCCCTGTGCTCATGTATTCATCTAAATCAAATCACCCCAAAGAACCACCTCAGATCCATCGCATTAGAGGCCGATTTTGGGAAAACAGACATTCAGTCTGTGACAACAGCAAACCTTCCTAATGGCCTGAAAGCCTTTGGAGTCCCCAGGCCCCTTGGTTGTCCTGCTGGAACATGGTGGCATGGGGACTCCTGGTCGCTAGATCAGGGCCTTGGGTCTGACCTCTGCCCTTTCTCTCCACGCCATCCCTCACTATGGGAGACCATGTGGTCACTGGCAAGCTCAGTCTACAGCAAGCATGTCAAACTCACAGCCCGCGGGCCACAGGCCTCGTTTATTGGCCTGTGTCAGCCTTTAAGTTTGACATGCTTGGTCTACAGTCTTAGAGACAGTGGCCTCTTAAGCACCCAGTGGGCCTACAATTGAGAAGAGAAAAGGCCTGATCTGGCCAGGAAGCAGCCGGAAGCATTTATGCACAGAGTGGCGGGTCCTTGTGGAAGGATGGGGTGCGGGCTCCCAGCAGTGAGGGGAGCCTGCATGGGTCTTCTGAGGCTGCTCTTGCTCAGGCTTAAGGAGGGTGAGACAGCACCCACCCCTGCTCCGCATTCATGCAGTTAAGCTTCCTAGGGGGGACTCTGCCAGGTGCAGGCCTGGAGCCGGGGCAGGCCCTCAGAGCCCCCCCAGTGCTGGTTAAAGCCCAGCCTAGGGCCCGGCGCACGGGGACTGTGTTTTGGAAGTTGTGGCTTGGGGCTGGGGCAGGGGCACTTGGACCAGAACCCCTGGTGATGCAGTGGCCTGTGGTCAGAGGACTGCTGTGGGGAGAGGGGGTACCAGAGCCACCCCAAAGGTCTGGTGGGGAGGCACACGCTGCGAGTTTTGACTTCACTGCATTATACGGGGAATCACAGGTGCTTTCAGAAGCACAAGTCATTCTGGGCAGGTCCCAGCTCCCAGTTGCTCACACTTCAGAGGCAGGTGAGTCCCTCTGGACCCTGAGATGGGTTCGCATGCATGTGTGTATGTGTGTGTGTGTGTGTGGGTGCACATATACATGCGCATATGTACACATGTGTACTAGTATATGCTTTATTTAAATACTGTGGCTGGAGTAACGAGGGAGTGTGAAGTCTGAGCCCAGCGTGCCCTCTGGATCAGAGGGGATGTTTCACAGAGATGACCACATTCCCACGTCCCT